TTGTTGTTTAGATGAAACTTTCTTCAATATAGTAAACAAAGAAATGGGATACTCACCGAAAATAGAATTTCAAACGTGTCGACTCAAAACCTTGACTACAAGTCAAGAAAAAAGATCAATTCGTCTATTATGTTTTCTGTTGCTAATCCAAACAGATGTTCATCTACAAACAGGACTAGTATAAAATAATAAGTATCTGATTTTAATTTCTGTTTATAGATTCGTAGTATTTTCAATTTTGAGGAAACATTTTCCCATGAAACTAGTAGAAGGGTGTAAGTTTCAAAATCTGAATATTAAATTCAGACTAATGACGATGCCCATATGGTTTGTTTCGAAAAATTAATTGACGAGACAACTATTTTTGTTGCCTCTCATCCTTGTGATCATTGCTCACGAATGTATGAACGAAGAATCGATGAATTGTCTGATCGAATTTTTCTATCGATCGATGAAGAAAAGAGAGATGTATGCTACATCAGTGCATATTTAGTCGAGTTTTTCAAATGAATGATCGTTGATGGATTTTGAGATACTGTTTAGAGAGTGTTAGACAGTTCAGTTAGTTCAAGGAAACCTTTTAGACAGATTACTCAGGCGCCTTCGACTACGCAATAAAAGGTTCTTAGAGAGAAGATATCTTTGCATATGCCAAATAACAATAATTCATTTTCGGTAGTTTTTTCAAAACGTGAATCTTCTGGTGAAGCACGTCAGTTGAATTTTTTTCATTTCATCAATTTTCAAGTGATTAAACAAACAACGAAAATGTACTAAGAAAGTTTGATCAAATCTTCCATGTATTTATTGTTTTTGAAGTTATATCCAACGAAACACTTTCAATGAACGTGTTGCTTCACTTCCATGTCGAACTGTTTGAAATGCATTAAAAAACTACAAAATTATCAAGACAATGACAATGTGGTTTCTTTTTATTCATGAATTCGACACAAAGTGATCGCTCAACTGCACATTATTAATCGAACATCGATATTTCTTACGTTCCTTAAATGTTTCTCTATCAGCAGAAAGAATTTTTAAACAATAATATTCATCATTAAAACTAAAGGAATGGTGACGATAAATGGGTTTTGCTTATTTTCAACGTCATTTGTGGTCTGTTAGTGACAATCGAAGCGAATGATAAAATATTTAACTCGATCGACGATCTTCCATTATGATTAACAATCATTTGCTAATGGATGTCTTTGTTCATAATTTAAGTTACTTTAATTAGTTTATTTTTCAAATTTGGAATCATTGGTTTGAACAAATACTTATCACTTTGGACGATCATTTTAAAGAAAGTACAAAAAACTGAAATTTCAATGGAAGATGAAAAACATCCATGTTAACTCAAATTTTCTATTGTATAATATTCTTTTTTTCTTCATATGTATTAATCATCTCATCGAATTCTATTGTTGCTATATCTCGATTGGACAAGCACACTTTTCAATCCGAAATACATTCATAGCTACCAACTAGAACTACAACAAGCATTCCCATTAATACTACACCAAATAAAGCACATAGGAAAGCTAAATACAACTGGTAGTCGTTTTCGACTGATCTCTTATTTAATTTTGTTCGAAATTATATAAAAGACAAATTTATATGTGTGACCAGAGAGAGAAGGAAGAAGGGTCGTCCATCTATAAAACATTTATATGGATGACCATTCTACCACCCGACAATTGTTATTGTGACAATACCCATATACTTTGTTTGTCGAAACAAGTTACTGCTCAGAATAAAAATGCTGAAAGAACTAATATGATGATCGTTGTCAAAAAATCGTTTACAAAGAAAATATATTTTGAAAATATGGAAAAAACTTAATGCAATTAAGAGTTCTATACTTATATCTTGGAATGTGGATGTGAAGGTGAACTCTTCACCACACACTCACATCCACTCCACATTTACACTAACACCATACTACGTCGATGACTTATGGAAGTCTTCGTGTGAAAAAATTATATTTCAAAAAGAGATGTAGTATGAAAATGAACATTTCTAAACATCGATGGAACGAAAAACAAATAATGAATAATCCATTTTTTAGAGCTTGAAATTTCTTAACACAGGCATTGAATGTAATAAAATATACTGCTCAGAAACTATTTAGCTCTATTTCCAGTTTTCCGCACCTATCGTACAAAAAACTTCCAACTCACTCATATGTATATACACTACGTATCCAGAAAATCAATAACAAAAATTGACAACTTCAGTGTACAAATAATAACGAGGCATACATCTATACCTTGAATTAGAGATGAAACGATTCTAGTGCAGAAAAGTAATAAAAAAAGAAATTTGGTCAGTCATTTATGTTTGGCAAGAGAATGACTATATCGTTTTTTCATAACCTCGTGATGAATTACAGTTCTTTGTTGAAAGCAGTTGTAATACGTCAAAATAGTTTTTATCAATGGTTGTTCTATAAATATAAGGTATGAATAATACTCTATCAAAGAAAAAAATGTCAGCTCGTTAGGTCAAAGTATGGTGAAAATATTTGTAATTATTCTTTGGCTAATGCCTTTCTGGGCACCCTATATACACTTCAAAAAATAGGATTCGGACAAAAAATATGTTATTGTTCGTATTTCTTGATTTGTACAGCAATGAAAGTGGATAAAATGTTATGATTTTCACTAATAAATAATTTGAACATATCTTCCTGAAACCTCTAATAACAATAAGAGCACCGGCTACGTCGATTTTTGAAACATAGTTTTCTGTCTCCACTCAAAACACCACAACATTTCAATACTTAATCTGACAGATATAACGATCACAATTTTTTGCCCTTTTTTTGGTTTTGACATTTATTAGCATCATGTGATGTTTTTTTTTTCATTCCTTTTTTTTACCTATGCGTAAATATGTACATGAATATCAACATATATATATTGATCAAAGACTGCCAGATCAAGCGACAAGTATAGAAACGAAAATAATGGAGGAGAGCAAGAAAAAAAGGTAAGCGTTTCGTCAACTCAAGAAATCACATACTGTGTCGAGCAATAAGGCACACAAAAAAAATAAAAACTATTCTAAGGCATATTATGACTTTGTTAGGCATTGAAAGATATCGGAATTGAATCGATCGACATACGAATAAGAAAATTTGCAGAATTCACAGGAAATCAATAGCATACTAATGACTCATAAACATTGGTAAGACGAGATCGTTGTCTATTTTTTTTATTCATAAATTCAATAGCAAACAAGGAATTTGCTGATATATGATAGATCAACATTGGAAAACAACAAAAAAAAACATTAGTTTTCATTTTTGAATCATCACTTTTGTAGGAGTCTATGTTCATGGAAAGTACTTTCTATAATATTCATGGTACTTGCTAGTCTTCTTTTGATTTCTACCATTGTATTGGTCATCTTGTTCGGAGTGGAGCGAAACAAATCGAAAAGTATCTATTACGTGATAATAAATGAAAAAAATGATATGAGACTTTTTATTTTTCAGTTGAAAAGAATGATATATGTTTAACTCCAAAGTGTGTTGAAGCAGGTCAGCAAATAAAAATCTCTTCCAAACATAAAGTCGAACTATTCTTCTATTCTAGCTAACAATTTACTCAAGAGTATGGATGAGACAGTTAATCCGTGTGAAAATTTTTATCAGTTTACATGTGGGACGTGGCTCAACAATACAAAAATACCTGCGGATGGTCAGCCCTTTTTTCTCTTTTTCTTTTATTCTTGTCAAGCATTACTTTATTTGAAGCAACAAGTGAAACTATATTCGAGATGATAGGAACTCAATTGACTAACAATATAATTGGTTGGATAACTTTATTTATTCATCTATAGTTACTCTTTTTCTATCTCATTGAAGATGTTCTCACGTCATCATCAACCACCAGCATCGACAACTCTCATGCAATTATTAATGCTCGTCGTTTGTATGCTTCTTGCATTGATGAAGAAGCCATTGAGTTGGAGGATACTAATATGCTTCTCACATTCATAAACACACAAATTGGAGGATGGCCAATTTTGCAAGGATCGACATGGAACAATTCGACATATAACATATCGAATCAGTTACTCAAACTGTTCGAATATGGACATGCAGTCATTTTTAATATCGGAACAACTGTTGATGATAAAAATTCTTCTACTCATATACTAGTAGTACGTGAGGTTTGATGTATACTTTCATCAAGTATGTCTGATATCGTTTTAGATCGGACAAAGTGATCTTGTTTTGGGCATACGCAGTAGCTATGAGAGCGAAAGTCCGATCACTATTGCCTATCGTGCATTTATGCAGGAGATAGCCCTAGCTTTGACTAATGATACATCGATGATAGACCAGGATGTTAATGCTACATTTGAATTAGAACAACGAATTGCCAAGGTACTGTTTTCTGCCATTACTCATATTGAATATCGATCTGAATTGTTTTTTCTTTCTACAGTATCATCGGACAATTACCGAACAGCTAGCTCATATTGATGAAAATATTCGTACGACACTTGGAAATGTTTCACGTATATTGAATGTCAATGTAAGTATGTCCTATATTCTATTATTTTTACTATGATTGTTTAGTTTGATTTTGTAAATTATTTTCGACGTGCCTATCGTTTGGCAAATGTGAGTCTCGTCGATGAGGATATGGTACTCATCAGTGAAATCGACTTTATACGCAATGTTTCTTCGATCATTGATCATTATTCACCACGCACTTTGCAAAACTATCTTGTGTGGCGTTTTATACTCAATCGAGTTGATCAGATGCCGAAACGATTTCAAATAATCAAACAAAATTTTCTCAAAGTGTTGACAGGAGCTAATTCTCAGCAATCACGTACAATTGAATGCGCCAACTTTGTCAACACTTATATGGCTTTTGCTGTAGCTAAACTCTATATTCAAAAGTATTTTGACGAAAATGCTCGTAATCAAGTTAGTTAAATATGATAACTTTTTTTTCGCTGACTTTTCTTTTTATCAGTCAATGGAAATGATTGAAAATATTCGCAATACATTTATTGATATGCTTCAACAGTCATCTTGGATGGATCCCATGTCAAAATCTAAAGCAATAGAGAAAGTAAGTTCAAAACAATAATTTCAACATATAATGATATTTTTCAAAAGGCCCGCGCCATCAACGAAGCAATTGGTTATCCTGATTATTTGGGTAACGAGAATTTAACCAAACTTGAGACAGACTATGCTGAGGTGCAAATAGAAAGAAGCTTCTCATACCTAATAATTTAGTTTTCGATTATTGTTGACTTTTCTTGTAGTATAATTTTAACTCTTCTCTGATGAACAACGGTTTAATTATTCTTCGATTAGAAATGAAAAAAAATGTTCTAATGTTTCGCGAACCAGTCGATCGTAAAAAGTGGGCTATTCCACCGACAATTGTCGAAGCTACCTATACGCCACAATACAATCGAATAAGTACGGTTTGTCTTTTAACTTTGTCTTGATTAGATTCTTCATAGCTTTTCCGGCGGGTGTTCTTCAAATGCCGGTCTATCACAAAGATGTACCTCGGTGAGTATTTAGTTTTACTCTTTTTTCTTTTAATCCATCTTTTATTTGATAATAGATATCTTAATTATGGCGGTGAAAAATTATTCGATTTCTAAGACATAAAATATAGTTTACTAATGATTTCCAGGTATTGGCATGTTCATCGGTCACGAGATTACACATGGTTTTGATGATTTCGGACGACAATATGATAAAGATGGAAATCGAATTCCTTGGTGGACTAACGAGACAATCAATAAATTTAACGAACGAAAGCAATGTATCATTGATCAATACGATCAGTACACAGTAACTTTGGCTGGAACAGAATTGAAGGTTTTTCTTTCTAGATATTCGGGCTTTAGGAGAGAAGTTTAATTTTTATTTAGATGAACGGTACTCAAACACAGGGAGAAAATATCGCTGATAATGGTGGATTGAAGGAGGCTTTTTTCGTAAGATTTCATTCCTTTGTCGCAAATATATCAGTTAACTTCTATAGGCCTATCGAAATTGGATTCGATCAAGGGGAAGTGAGGAGAAAAAATTACCTGGTTTACAAAAATACTCATCTGAACAACTGTTCTTTATGAATTTTGGTTACATGTGGTGTTCGAAGATGACAGATGAATCGACTTACTCATATATTTTGCAAGACCTACACTCATTACCACAGTTCAGGTATGTTATTCATAATATCATTCTCATTCGTATTGATTATTGAAAATCTTCAATCTATTTCAGAGTGAATGGTCCGACGTCGAATTTCGCCGAATTCGATCAAGTCTTTGGTTGTAAACCTGGTCAAGGAAATAGCCGAGTGAACAAGTGTGCCGTTTGGTAATGTGAACCGATATTCGATTGTTGTATCGTACTTACAATTAAACAACACATTTCTTTTGTTTTCTATCGACTTTAATTACATCTTTATTCTATTTTATCGATCAATTATCACACATATACAATATATAAATGTTGTTATCCGACTTATTCATGAATAAAATTTTTCAAATCATTCATAATCATTATCCTATAACAGCATCTACCAATATTGAAATAATGTGAGATCAAAAGTAAATATGATCCACTTATCCGTAACGAATCGAAAAAAGTAGGCAATGGCAAATCTTAGCAGAAAACTGAATAACATAATAAGACAAAAACCTTGATAGATATTTTTTGAAATTCACCGTAGACAGATCGTATAGACACCGATGATAATGACACGAATAGCTAGGAACCTATACAACGAAATAATCCAAAAGAGTTGTGGTGCTCTTTCATACAAAATTGGTTTGGAATTCATCTTATATCGACCATAACTGAACAAAAACAATTTTATTGAGATATTCGAGTTGTCAAACAAATACATTAAGATAAAAACCTCTTTGACATATTCTCTACAAGCAGAATATCATTCTTGTGAACTGATTTGAAATGTTCAATGGACAAGGAGTAATTTAGTATTGAATTGAAATAAGATTCTTAACAAATTTTGTTTGTAACATTTTATGCCATTGCAACAAAACTCGAAGTGGATGATGACGTCATCTAATTTCTCATAATTTCGAAAATATTTTTGAGATTATCGAATGAATTCTCACAGCTCATATTTTAAACTGATATCGATATAACTCTAAATGTTTTGTTTCGAATTATTTGAAGGTCTTCTGTATAAGTCATAAACTATGAATGACAATATTGTAAATCATTGCATCGATATCAATAACTATCAAGACTCAGAAATATAGCTCGATCTGTAGAGATTGAGAAAGCTCATCGAAGTGGTCATCATCAAATGACAAGGAACGATAATCATGAAGGTGTTACTTTTAAAAACAAACAAATACTTGTTTAGTCGTTTTTATAGACGAGAGAAAGAGAGACAGTAGATTACATAGGTTCTAGATAATATCTGTGTTTCTGCTAGTATCTTAAGTATCTGCTTTATGATTCATGGATGAAATTTTATCATATGCCTTGATGAAGGAGTCAAGCGCGAACGCTCAACTCACTGTGAAAAATGATCCACTCGAGAAGACAATGTGTCTCTCGCTGATGTCAACTCTATCCATGTGCAATGACAAAGTCTCGACCAGGGGCTTCCTTCTTTTTGATCAAGAAAGATCCTGTGGCAGGTAAGTATGTTCTTTCATTCACACTATTCAGCTTCTTATACTTTTACAAATGACAATAATTGCACAGTAATGGTTTGATGGTTGTCGATGACTCATTCTTCTGTTTCTATGTTTTCATAATAACGCTGACTGTTCTGTTCTCTGAATATGATGAAATACTCTCAAGTCATGAATGACAGAGATATGAAGAAAAATGACTTTCGAAACTCAAAGAAAAAAAACGACAATTATGAAACTTCTGCTCTTTATGAAAGTATTATAGAATATTTGAGTCAACATAATAACTATACTTACTTCTAAAGAATCTTATTTGAACAAGAAGACCGTAATCAAAACTTTGTCATTGCACATTGATGATGCTGAAAGCAGTAAGAGTGGATCATTTTTCATATGGAGTCTAGCCTTCTAAGTATTTGCTCAAAAAAATGAACCACAGTAACTAAATCGAAGTAGGATTAAAATAATCATTCCTTTTCAATGCAAATGAGGTGTCAATGTTTCATCATGAAGATTTCAATGTTTTCAATTATCAATAAATTTTATTTGACATGAGAAGAAGTCAAAAAGTGATATTACATCATATCGGTTAAGCATTTTTAAGATTCTGCTACTCAAATAAATCAAATAGGACAACAACAAACTTTTCTCATAAGAAGTTCGCTGAGAAATACTTTGAATATCTATTATTTTCGAAGACAAAATCAATTCTTCAGGAATCAATATATGTTATTAGAACTTGTTTTTCTTTTGTATTCAGCTATGCCATTTGTTGACTACTTTTCTTGTGGGTCAAAGTTATCCGCCATCGTCAAAGACAAACTGTCGTAATAACATGACGATTCACTTTCTTCGAATAAATATACTATTTTTTCTGTGGCTCATCACTATATGCGAATTAATAAAAGTACAAATAATAAACAAAACTACAAATGTGATATATTCTCTCACCGTTGTAATGAAGATATACTTCTTTCAGAGATCGATATCAAGATTATTTCAATTAAAAACAAGACGATTTGTTGTGATTTGAATGAATGATGATAAATTTTCGATGAATAATTTTTCTGTTTATGTCCTATTATTGACTTGATACAAAAATAATATTGAGTTACTGTTGGAAATTGCAAATAAATATCCTTCATCTACTGTCAAACATAAAGCATTACAGTGTCATTTCTAGTTGAATTTCACTACGTAAAATCTCGTTTACATTGTACATAATCAATTTCTTCAAATACTAATCGAAAAGAATAAGACGATTAGTATTTATTTCGAGAATATTAGCATGTTCTAGTCTATGTTGATTGTGTATTAACAGATAACCAACATTCATGCTCAAAGCAGAAGCTTGAGTTATAAAATTAATTAAATGTCTTTGATATGAATAAATTGACAAAGACTTGCAACACTTGACTTATATTATTCATATATATGTACAAAACAAAAGTATTTCAAGTAAGCGAGAGTTTTATTTAATTTCTAGTCTTTTCTAACAAAACTTATCAAATATCATAAATTACGACGTTAATAATTTATTAAAGTTCAAATGTTCATGTAGCAAATTCTAAAATACTTTTATTATTTTATTCCAATTAATTTATTTAGTTTTTGGCAAGATAATGATTTTTAGAAATATTTCTATAATTTTCATTGATGGAGTTTTTTATTGTTAGTTGATCAATGACATCTATTGGTTAAGAGAAAACATAAAAGAAAAAGAATCGAACATGTTTCCTTTTCCTATATTTTTTGTTATACTTATAGAAATATATCAATCTATATAAAGCAAGTAAATAGCTAAAGCCCATTATGGTAGAATAATGGACTCATAAAAATAGCAAGATTTAGTTAGCACATAGGAACTGTTAATAGTAAAAAAAAAAAGAAAAGAACCAGCTTTGTAATATAATTTGAGTTCTGTTCGATGACAAGAAAATAAATTGCACTTAGTGCTCTATAAATCATCTTATTTTTGCACTCGATTAAATTCAAAGAGAATAGAAGAGTTATTTTCTTCGGAAAATATTCGTTACATTAGTTGTTTTTTCTATTGAGTACAAAACGACATTTGTCAAAGTTAATAAGTTTAATCATCTTATCAGATTTTTATTTCTTTATTTTAAAAATATTCTACATAGAATATAACATATTTAAATCTTTTATTTCATATAGAATCACTGATGTTCTATATTTAAAAACAAAAAACAAAAAAAGTAGGACAAATAAAGATCTTGAACTTGTCATAGGAAGTTTACTTCGTCGATGAATATACTAATATGAAAAGGTAATTATTATATTGTAGAATAGTACTCGTGTCAATTATAAAAGAAACTGTTAATAAGATTTAAATGAATCGTAAAGTCAAGTTTGTTTCCGTTTGTTAAGAAAAGAAAAAAGAATATATCTCAAAGAAAATAACGTTTATTTTCTAATCATTCATTTATTAGTTTTTTTTTTTTCTTTTTGTTAATTCTAATAACGAATTGAATTTGTCTTCTAACAAGACTTTTCCATTAATAATTGATCATTAATAAGGATTTTTCTTTTTTTAGAATAAAGAACGAAGAGAATATGAGATAGAGTCATATACTCACAAAGACAGTTGTTTTTTTTTTGTTTTTATATATATAGACATCATTAACAATGACAATAACATATACATCAAATTCATCATCAATCATTATTTTAATTTTAATTGGAATTTGTCTTAGTCTTATTGCATTAATAACTGCACTTGGAAATATCATTGTACTTTTAGCTTTTTATTGTGACAAGAAATTACGTACAATCAATGGTAATTATTTCTTTTGTAATGTGAATAAAGAGGATGAGATACTCAACATTCACATCTATACCTATATCTCATATCCTATCCATACTTTTGTACCTATATCCACTATAAATTATTTTTATTTTTAAAAGATTATTTTATATTAAATATGGCAATAGCGGATTTTCTTGTTGGTTGTTTTTGTATTCCATTTTATATTCCATTCAGGTTAACTTTTTTGTTCTATGTCAAATGTATTCTCATTAATTTATTCATCTTTAGTATCACACGATCATGGCCATTTGGACGTCTTTTTTGTAAAATATGGGTGATGATTTTCATTTGATTAATTGATTTATTAATAATTAATCAATATGTAAATAGGTTACAATTGATGATGTTGCAACAATGGCTAGCGTTATTAATATAGTAGCAATTAGTATTAATCGATATTGGTCTATAGCTTATCCTATATCTTATCGAAAATATGTGAAACAACATTTTGTTTATTTAGTAATGGGAGCTGTATGGTGTCTTTCTTTTCGTAAGAATTCATTATTAGCAAAAAAAAAAATAAGTTAATAAAAAAATTCACTGATTTTTTTTTAAGTTAATTTTGCTCCGGGTATTTGGTTATTAAGTCTATTTAATAACAATAATAATACAATAACACGTAGTGATTGTTCAGGTGATTATAATTATTCATTTGTATATATGTTAATAGCACAATTTAATTATTTTATTTGGCCATTTATTGCTTTATGTATTTTTAATATGTTAATTATGTTAAATATATGGAAACGAAGTCGAAAAATGAATCGTCTTACATCATTTAGTCAATCAATAAAAAGTAAAGAACGAAAGATTGGTTCATTACCAATAGTAACAAGTAAATATACGAAAGATGATCAATGTTTGTCAATATTATCTAAAAAAAAAATAAATTCACTTGAAAATTGTCGATCAAAAATAGCTGAAGAAAAATCTGATAATATTGATCAATTTATTCTCGTTCAATTGTCTTCATCAAATAAAAATCTTCCAAATTCATTTGATGAAAATAATAAATCATCAAATAATTGTCAACATACAATTACATATTTATCACCAGTTATACAACAAAAATCTTCTATTATGTATGTTTATTATTTTATTTTTAGTAAAAAAAAAAGCATTCATTTGTTAATCATTTTTATTATAGAAATAAAAATGATTTAAAACAATCTCGAAAATCATCATCAATGGTATATTTATCAAGAAAATGTGCAAGTGTTAGTTTTTCTCATTCAAATAGTTATCGTAATGATTCATTTGGTGAATATCGACTTGAAAGTGATATTGAAGTATCAAAAACGATTCTAAGTGGATCAAGTTCATCAAAACATTTAAATACTACTACTACTGATAATAATAAATTTAAAGAATACCGTCGATGTGGTTCAAAAATAATTCGAGATCGTAAAGCAGCACGTTCATTATTTATTCTAGTTATTGTTTTTCTTATATTCTTATTTCCATATGTTATTTGTGCAATCGTTTCAACAGCTGGTGTAAATATATCTGGAATTATTTTAGAAGTATCATTTTGGCTTTTATGGTTAAATTCAACATGTAATCCATTTCTTTATCCATTTATACAAATACAATATCGACGTGCTTATTTAAAATTATTTCAATCTTTTTCGAAATTTTTTACATCTTCTCAATTAAATCATCGTTTTTAATTATGTGTATTTTAAAATCATTGATATTTAACAGTTTCTTTCTTTTTTTTTTGTTTTATTCTACAATAAAGGATAGTGAATGATATTGAAGATTTTATTTAAAAATAATCTTGATTGATCGATATTAATATATAAAATGATTGGAAAAAAAAAGGAGAAGGACGATGACAAATAATGTTGTTATTAGTATTCGATTGATCATAACCTCAGAGAATGTCTAATCAATATAGGATATTCGATGATCTTTGACAAGGCAAAATACATATGGTAAACACATGGGTAAATAAATGACTAAATAATATAATATAAAAGAAGTTCTGAAAAAGAAAAATATATTCATAATAATGGAAAGATTTTTTCAATGATCATTATTTTTTCTTTGTATTGTATTTGTTGATTGATGAAAATATTTTATTAAGTTCGACATTTCAGCAGTTCTTATTCATTCCTGTTCATTGAATACTCAAAATTAATGAAAGACTATAATCAATATCAAACTATCTACTTTCTTATTGGTTTTTATTTGTATATTCATTTTGAATTTATAGGCGAAATCGACTTGTTTTTATAAAAATTTGTTGAACATATATTGATTAATAACTTGCCATAAATGAAATTTGTTTTTCAATAACAAAAAAGAAAAAAAAGATCAAAATATTTATTTGCAAAAGTAAAACTATACTCAAATAAAAAAAATCTTATATGAATAAATATTTTTGACAATTTATATTAATTGTATTCGTTATTTATAATTTAAATGATCATTTGAAAAAAAAATGCAAGAAACAATGTATGTAACATTATCAATACAAAATAAAAATATTTCATTGATAAATAAATGAAACAAAAAAAAAAAATAACAATCGTCACGATTGAATAAATTCAAAAATCCGATCAAATGGTAAATGGTGGTGGAATTCATTCTGATAAAATATTTTTTAAAAATGAACAAATTTAAAAGCATTTGCAATTGAAGATAAATGTTGAATATAAATAGAAAATTTTCTTCATAAATTTGTTCAAAAGCAAGGTTTTAGTTATTTATTTACAAAAGAAATTTTGGTTTTTTTTTGTTGAAATTATCAATGTAGATGATTTAGATCAGAAGAAA